GTGACTATAGACCTCCTGCCTTGTTCCAGGACCAAAGAAGACTCAGCCAGCAGTCCTCAGTGACTTCTAGAGGAAGATTAGGTCTTTCAGATGCTGCAGATCTTCTACCAGTCTGCTGTGGAGAGTCTGATCTCTTCCTCCATCATCATCATCATCATCATCATCATCAGAGCTAATGACTAAAAGAAGATCAACCAGCTGATAAAGAAGGCCGGCTCGGTTCTAGGAACTTCTCTAAAACCTCTGGAGATGAGGAAGATGATGAACAGCAGTGAGCATCGTCTTCATCAGACTGATAGACACCATCAGAGGGTCTTCAGTCAGAGGCTGATCCAGATCCACTGCAGACAGACCTCTACAGGAGATCCTTCCTGATTACAGCATCAACATCAAGAGCAACTTTCCAGAAATAAAACTGCCATACATTTAATTTCTACATGATGGATCTCTGCTGCCACCACCAGGCTCAGTGAAGAACTGCTTGTTCCATGGATATTTATTTAAATCAAAGGAACTTTAGAATCAGATCATTAAATGATTCTCTATAGAATAATTTAATGAGCATTTAATGATTCCTCTATGGAGCCGTTCAGTTCAGTCCAGTTTAATGGGCAATAATCTTTAATCTCTGCTCTTCAGTCACAGATTAGATGCATTTGGTGCTCCTTTGTTTTTAATGTAAACCTGGTTTTAGTGGCATGAAGTTTAAAATCACAGAACTTTAACATCTTTAATGGTTCTGTTCCTTAAACAGGTAATTAAGATCAGATAAAAAAAGGAAAAGTATGACTTTTAGGTTAAAATCTGTTACTTCTGGAAAAAATCCATTCAAAATTAATTTAAAGAGGATCAAATAAATCCTTTTCTAATTCAGCTCCGGCGGGTCGTCTCTCAGCTCATTGGTGAATGATGTGGCTGATTTTCAGCCCTGCTCCTCAAAGCAAACCGTTTCTGCTTCAGATGATCTCAGGTCAGCAGGAGGAGCAGGAGGAGCAGGAGGAGCAGGGCTGAAACCAAGCACAGGAGCTGCTCAGAACCAACCAATCACAGGTTGATTTAGCTCCTCCCCCCCTGTTCTATTTTCACCATGTTGGGTTTGCTGGAAGCTTCACAGACGACCATCAGGACCTTTAGGCTGGTTTAGTTCTGCCTTTATTAAACCTTCAGCTCAGGTGGACCAAAGCAGAACATCACGCCGTTTCTCTGACAGCAGCAGTAAATGTGAGGTTGAAGCTGCTTTGACGCCATCAGGGCCCATTAGTCCGGTTCTGGACTAAATCCGGCCCAGTCTGACCAGCCTTCCACCTCAAACAACAACAACAGTTTCAGTCATTTATTGAAAGCCGCAGCAGGAAACCGGGCGCTCAGCCAATCACTGCTCTTTGTCTGCTTTGTAGATGGACAGCGTCCGCGCTGACGGGTCGGTGGCGCTGATCCAGCGAGGCATCCAGTAATGGGACAGCCACTGGGCGCGGCCCGGGTACAACCGCTCAAACACCTGCCTGTAGTAGAAGGCCTCCTTGGTTTTGGGGGGGTTGTGGGGGAAGGTCTGGGCCGCCTTCTCCATCTGCTCCTCGTTCACCTGGGGAAGCAGACAGGACCGGTTAGAACCGGCTGGCCAGAACCCAGCCGGTTCTAACCGGTCAGCATTTCTTTACATGACTGATCCCGTTTGATCCTGCCTGGATCAGAGGAGCCTCCCCCATGAACAGGATGGATGACCGGTTCTGACCGGTTCTTACCGGCTGGTTCTGTCCAGATGGAGAGAACTTTGTCCCAATATTACAGGAAGCAAAGACATTTAAATTCAATTTAAGTTAAACTTCTCAATAAAAAACAGGTTTCCGAGTCTTTTATGAAGTGGATGCAAAAGGATTTTAGATTTTTTTCAGATTTTATTAGTTTAATTTTCTTTTATTGGTTTCATTCATTCAGAAATGATTCTACTCTGAGTCGAGGAAAGAACAAAGATGGCGCAGGAACCATGCAGGAGTCACATGACTGACGGGGAGTGAAAACTAGAGGTGATCTGTCCAAATGGTCAGTTATTAGAGTTCATTGTAAAGTCGACTATATAGTGATGCAGGGGTCAGGGGTCAAGCAGGGCATCCAGACAGCCTCAGTTTCTCAATAGGTGTGCGTTCTCAGGTGCTCGTGAAACGTCCTCAGCCTCACCACTGTGCCAATTCAAAAGAACGGCAGACAGAGTCCCTGGATGTTGTTCATGCCCCTCCTTCTTTACCCAGCATGCATCAGAGCAGACTTGTCTGTTCCGTCACTACCCGATCCGTCCCGGAAGCACGATCTGTCCTGCGCATTCGCCATTAGCTCATCTGCGCATCCAGATATACATCCGATTTCATTTAGTTAAAAAGAACTAAATGACGTTTTCCCTCCCTAAAAACAGTAAGCGTACTAAACTATGTGGGAAATGGAAAAAGCATCAATATTGTCTCACAAAAGCCATAAAAAATGTTTTAAAGATGTGTATTAGCCTTCTGAAGTGGCTTAAGGATAGAAATAAGTACTCTTAGTACCATAACTACATCATTTATGGACACCCGGATGCATATCTGTTTGCGCATTCGCAGGAAGCCTCGTGCTTCCGGGACGGAGCGGGTAGAGACGCATTCTCCAGACTGACAGCTGTCCCAGCATGCAGTTCGGCAGCAGCAGCTTCCAGGTTAGCGCACTCAGAGCTCAGAGTATTAAGTTAAAAGTTCTCTTTTCTGTTGCAGTTGGTCAATAAAAGTACGTTTTAACATCATTTGAGGCGAGAATATTATACTTTAAGCTTCACTATATGGAACATTTACTGATTTAGTGCGGGATTTATAAAAAGTTCCGATGTTGAGAGGACTGCAGCAACCAGTGGACCTCCGAGGCTAACTGAAGCCAGGGCTAACGTTAGCCCGCCTGCAGCAGCCGCTGCCAGCGTTAGCCCATCTGCAGCAGCCGCTGCCAGCGTCTGCAGCAGCCGGGGCCACCGTTAGCCCGTCTGCAGCAGCCGGGGCCACCGTTAGCCCGTCTGCAGCAGCCGCTGCCAGCGTTAGCCCATCTGCAGCAGCCAGGGCCAGCGTCTGCAGCAGCCGGGGCCAGCGTCTGCAGCAGCTGCAGCCAGCGTTAGCCCGTCTGCAGCAGCCGGGAGCCAGCGTCTGCAGCAGCCGGGGCCAGCATTAGCCAGTCTGCAGCAGCCGCAACCAGCGTCTGCCCGTCTGCAGCAGCAGCGGCAAATGTGAATGTGGTGATGTCATCAGTACGCTTCTGTTCCAATTGACCCAGATTTATTCTGCGTGCTCCCATTCTCCCCGAGTCCAGGACTTGGTGGAGGAAACAAGTTGGCGAGGAAACGAGTCCATACTCACGTTTCAGTGAACTGAGAAAGGTGCTAAATTAAGACTGGATATAAAAACAAATTCAGTTAAACTGAGGCCCCGTCCACACGAAGTCAAAACGAAGACGAAACGCTAATATTTTCCAAAACGTTTGTCGTA